TTTGGAATGGGAAAGAAAGTCTCAATGATTATGTCAAGAAAGGAATGGCATTGCCAGCTGTAAAAGAAGAACAAAAAGAGGCCTGACATGGCACCATCCCACAATCCAACGGAGCTTTCTAAAAGGATTATGGTGCAGGACATTGTACAAGGCATGAGATACAATTATCCATGAGCCACAGTGAAAGCACAATAAAAAAAGGAGATCCTGCAGAACTCGATAGGAAGGGCTGGCTGCTGTAAGTGGCACCGGACAACTCTAAATACACATGGCTCCTTTGATAGCCTAATTGTGCAATGGACATTCTCACCTTACCTCTTTGAATTGCTAAAAGCAGGGGGAGGGGTTGAATAATTCATCATCACCACCCTGTTTGCAAGTGAAGATACAAGAAAAAGGAGATGGACTATCACTATGTGGTTTGTTTGTTTTTTTTAAAAAAAAGGTATAGAGAAGAAGAATTTTAGCAGAAAGAGTAACCCAAGACACAGTTCCCACAGAGGCAGAACGAGGCTTTATTTCACCCGGCTCAAAGACCCAGTTTGGTACACACACACTGTGCATTTGCGTACACACACACACACACAGGCTGGGAGCCTCAGTGGCGCCCCTCTGGAGGCTTCATCCAGGGCAAAATACCTGGCCAGCCCTCACCCCTTATAGCTACGGTTCTAGTTCCCATTCCTTCCATTTTTGCAGCAATTCAAGCTAAGTGAGATTATGATGCTGGGTGCAAATGTTTCCACCATTGTGCTTATTTCCTTCCTACTTTTAGAAAGACATCATTTCATATAACCCTTTTAATTGGAGTGACCAGGGATTGAATCTGGGACCTTCTGGAGTCAATGCAGGTGTTCTCCTACCAAGACTCATCACAAAGCAGTAATGTGCATTAAAACGTCAATGAAAGATTAAAGCGTATTATGCATCAGTGCATCACTTGATATTGTAATGCTTTGTAAATTAAAAAAAAGGGATCCTTGATGTGAAAGCACTAAGCAAAAGAAACAGCTAAAACAAGAAAGAGGGTGCTTCTTTCTCTTTTTTTGAAACTGCCTCTCTCTCTCTCTCTCTGATGAATCTGAGGCTGGAGGAGGAATTCAATACAAACCTACCAAATCCACTTTCTGAAAAAATATGTGAACTGAAGCACAGCCGCACTTCTCCTGCATTTTACAATAAGCTTCTCCTGCTAAGGAAAGTGTAACCAACAACTGATTGATTGTTTTGGCAGGCATAAAATGCAAGAACATATCAGCTGGCAAATAACAGCCACTACGCATCATCTGTGAAATGCTGTTGGATACAAAATATAGTCAGATATTAAATACCATGCTGTCAGATCCATTGCATTCCAGCTATCAGATCCTGGCAAATAATATCAAATATTGACATCGGGATTTCTCAAAATGTCAAGTAACTGGAGAATATCCAGCGAAATATTCAAAGGATTACTGACATCAGCGTTCAAAGGAGAGTGCAGGGAGGCAAATTAATTTAGTTGCTATGAAGTTCTAAACACTCTGGAATACAGATTAGTTACATGCCAATTTTGCTTCTGAGGTTTATTGAACATTAGGTCATTTGAATGAAAGTACAAGTTTGGCTAATCAACTAGCAGTAATCTGTACATTCTTACATGACAGCTCCTTTAATTTTTAATCCCATCACTCTCCTGTTTTGATCAGAACCTGCCTAAAAGAGATTCCCTCTGTCATGCGCAGAGAGAGAGCATTAGCTGATGAACAAGCAGAACACAGGAAGCTGCCAGATACCAGGCCAGAAAACTGGTCCATACAGTCTAGCATTGTCCGCTCTGACGGGCAACAGCTCTCCAGGATCCCAGGCAGGGAAAGAGGCTTCCCCTCACCTGTTCCTAGGTCCCGTTTCAAATGAAGATGCTGCCAGGGGCCTCCTGCAGGGGCTGTACCGCTGAGCCATGGTCCCTCCTGGCCATTCACTCCTTCAAAGCATTTGTTGCCCTCCTTTCCTCAGCAGGGCTCCAGGTAGCTCAGGACAATGACATTAAAACAATATAATGACAAGTAAGTAGCAGGAAGAAAAAGTGTCTTAAGACCAATGTCATAAAGACAGCTTCCAGCAGGTGAAAAGCAAGCCATCCAAACTACTTATGGCACATAAGTCAGGCAAAACCTGACATTCTGCAGGCAAATAGCATGAATAATATTAAGCTGCCACAAGATACATAAATATTGTTCTAGCTATTATAGTATGGCGGCACTAAGAACGTTGTTGATGGAGAGATGTGGCTGAGGGGGGCGGGGGGTGGGATCTCCATGGATGAGGTTCCTGTAAGAGAGAGATGTCTGAAGCAGCTCTTGCCCGTCCTCCTTGGTCTCCCAGTGGAGTCCTATGCATCATGGATGACGACCCTGTGACCTTCAAGACTCCAACCCCCATCAGCCGTAGGCAGCACAGCCATGGCCAGAGAGGATGGGAGTTGTAGTCCAGCCATATCTGTAGGGCCATAAGTTTGTCTTCCCCACTATTTGTTCATTCATTCATTTCAGATGTTATAAACTGATTTAAGATTCATAGAATCATAGAATCATAGAGTTGGAAGAGACCACAAGGGCCATCGAGTCCAACCCCCTGCCAAGCAGGAAACACCATCAGAGCACTCCTGACATATGGTTGTCAAGCCTCTGCTTAAAGACCTCCAAAGAAGGAGACTCCACCACACTCCTTGGCAGCAAATTCCACTGTCGAACAGCTCTTACTGTCAGGAAGTTCTTCCTAATGTTTAGGTGGAATCTTCTTTCTTGTAGTTTGGATCCATTGCTCCGTGTCCGCTTCTCTGGAGCAGCAGAAAACAACCTTTCTCCCTCCTCTATGTGACATCCCTTTATATATTTGAACATGGCTATCATATCACCCCTTAACCTCCTCTTCTCCAGGCTAAACATGCCCAGCTCCCTTAGCCGTTCCTCATAAGGCATCGTTTCCAGACCTTTGATCATTTTGGTTGCCCTCCTCTGGACACGTTCCAGTTTGTCAGTGTCCTTCTTGAATTGTGGTGCCCAGAACTGGACACAGTACTCCAGGTGAGGTCTGACCAGAGCAGAATACAGTGGCACTATTACTTCCCTTGATCTAGATGCTATACTCCTATTGATGCAGCCTAGAATTGCATTGGCTTTTTTAGCTGCCGCGTCACACTGTTGGCTCATGTCAAGTTTGTGGTCAACCAAGACTCCTAGATCCTTTTCACATGTACTGCTCTCAAGCCAGGTGTCCCCCATTTTGTATTTGTGCCTCTCATTTTTTTTGCCCAAGTGCAATACTTTACATTTCTCCCTGTTAAAATTCATCTTGTTTGTTTTGGCCCAGTTCTCTAAACTGTCAAGGTCGTTTTGAAGTGTGATCCTGTCCTCTGGGGTGTTTGCCACCCCTCCCAGATTGGTGGTCAAAAACAGAATATAAAGCATGGTAAAGGTAAAGGTACCCCTGACCATCAGGTCCAGTCGTGACCGACTCTGGGGTTGCGCGCTCATCTCGCTCTATAGGCCGGGAGCCGGCGCTTGTCCGCAGACAGCTTCCGGGTCACGTGGCCAGCGTGACTAAGCTGCTTCTGGCGAAACCAGAGCAGCGCACGGAAACACCGTTTACCTTCCCGCCGGGGAGCGGTCCCTATTTATCTACTTGCACTTTGCGGTGCTTTCGAACTGCTAGGTGGGACCGAGCAATGGGAGCTCACCCCGTCGCAGGGATTCGAACCTCCGACCTTCCGATCGGCAAGTCCTAGGCTCCGTGGTTTAACCCACAGCGCCACCCACGTCCCATAAATCATAATACAAATAAATAAATATAATAAATAAAAATAGAATGTTGACTTGTTTTATTGAGTTTCAGCTTATAGTTGATTTTAATTATTTTTTTAACATTTCACATAGTTATCCATATTTTTATGGATAATTTCACCGTTTTATTCTTTTGAGGGCTTCTGTTAGCTTTTTTAACAATCAATATAATTTTTATTAAATAATTTAAATTAAAACAAAAAATAAAATAAAATAATTCAGGACGGCTTGGGGGAAAGGAAACCTTTCAACAAATGTCAAGAACATAACCATACTGGGACTTGCTTCACTTGTAAGAGAGGAGATTTCCAAGACCCTGTCTCATAATGTGGCAAGCACATGCCTGAGAGCGCCTGGCTGCAGGGGCACATGCGGCACCATCCAGAGATCTTCACCCATTGATCTCAATGGCCGGTGTGGATGCCGGAGGGGAGGCAGGTTTTTCACACGTTTTAAATTACAATCCTACGAATGTCCACTCGGAAGGATGCCCCATGGACTTCAATGGTCCTTTCTCTCAGATTATCAAGTGTGAGATGACTGCCATACTGTCCTCTGCATTTGTGTCCCCATCTCCCTTCTCCAAAAAAACCACCCAGAGAGTGGCAAAGCAGCTACATTGTGAAGATCCCAGTTGAGCTTCAGGCACTCAGGATCAGAAGAGCCTTTGGCTTTAGATCAAGAGATCGCTTGGTGAATAATCTGACCTTAAAAACACACCTGCCATCCACAATAAAGTTACCAGATTATTATTTCTCAATGAATCTGAGGACACTTTTCAACTTCCTACTAAATAGATGGATTTTGTCAGGGGACTGATATGTAAATCCGTGGACTGTCCCTGGGAAATGGGGACGTCTGGTAACCTTAATCTACAAGAAAATGCAACACTTCCAACTATGCTACAAACAAAGCCCAAGAAGATGCGCAAGGTTGTCTGAATATGGACAAACATGGAGAGAGAGGAGAAAGATAAACTTAATGAGGAAAGGTTGTCTTTGTCTCTGTGACAAGTCCCCTGGGATGGCAAACAATATATTTTAAAACAAAACATTCATCCTCCCCATGCACAAACTTTGCTGGTGGGTTTTTTAGTTTAGTTTTGATTTTGAGAAATCAGCAGGTAGAAATGGCGCATAAAGACAAAAGAAACCCTCTCCAGGTGGGCACCATCCCTACCTTGCACTGCCCAGACACGCAGACGGAGGTTGCATTTTGGTCACACGGCGTCCCGTCAATGACCTTCTCCGCTTGTCTCACGTAGAACCGATAACCTACTGCTCGACAATTAAGTTCGCATTTCTGACTGCCCTTAACTGAAAGAAAGAGAGAGCGAGAAGGCCATGAGTATGGATAGGGCTGGGTTATACCACCACAGCACAAACAGAAAGCTTGAGTGGAAAGAAGCTAATGGCGGGCTGGAGCTCTCCAACCCAGCCTTCACTACTTCTGCCTCGGGTGCGCTTGGGGACACCGTTGGCCCTGGGTTCTATAGGCAAGAAGGTCGTAGTGGCCCCTCTCCCCGCATGGGCTCCCCGCCTAGGGATGGAGGAGAAAATTCATGGGGTCACATTTTAATGCAAGCTCACCAGATTTTCACTTCCCAAACGATACAGCCTTGTGATGCTTCAGAGCATGTTGGGCTCCATCAACTGCCCTCAGCCCCAGCCAGCAAGGCCAATTGTCAGGGGTGATGGGGGCCATCATAGAGCAATGTCTGGATGGCCAGAGATTCCCCACTCTTGCAGTGCATGAAGCATTACAAAGCTCTTCTTTGAAACTCACCCTTCTTTGAATTTTGCAATACAGTTATCAAGCCAAAGAATGGAAAATATCCAATGAAGAAGTGGCAGGAGAGAGTGAGAAGGGCAGGCAAAGCCCGCGTCCACCATCACTGGAAACTGCCCAGAGGGAAGGATTCCAGGGGAAAGGGAGGCAGTCAAAGTTGGCCCAGACCTCTGCTCTTGCTCTAGCTGGGCTCATGTTGTTTTGTTTCCTTGTGTTTTCACATATTCTTTAATGCACATGTGTATTTTGCAAGTTTGAGGGTGCCAGTCAAAAGGCAGGATAGGAAGAGCTTTTGACATGGATGTTAGCTGCAGAGAGGATTTCAATGACCCTGCAATGGAAAACATTGTAAATTGTGTATCTGATTGAATGGTATAAGACAGGGCTGTCCAACTTCCAAGAGACTGCGATCTACAACCACCACACAAAAAAACTGGCAGTATTTCTACCCATTCGATTGACCAGAATTGTTGAGCTTTTTTTAGAAGTTGTTGCAGAGGATCCAGCAACTGACCACGATTGACCAGAGGCATCCCGCAATCGACTGGTAAATCATGATCGACCTGTTGGACAGCCCTGGTATAAGACTTACAGACTTTAGCTATGATGGCAGGAGACACACACACACACTGCATGTTTCAAGGGTGATGAGAGGATCGAGAACATGTTTATGTCATCTGGTGGGACATTATTTCCTATGCTCAACTTTAGATGCTCAACATTCACCACCCATGCCAGCCTGGGAAATATTGATGCCTTTATTCATATTGGTGTGTCACCAATGTTTTCCTCTTATTTATTTGTTTGCTTTGTATATGCTTTGATGTAACAGCCTGCTACCACACTTTAGGCCTGTTAATAATGTTGATAAAGGTACCCCACAAAAAGCAAGCAACCATGCTTATTTCTGTGCAATGAAATACTATGCCTACTAATTTCTGCAGATAACAGTGCTATTCAAAATGCACTGGAACAGACCAATTCTTCCCTCTTCCCTCCCCCCACCAGAAAATTGGCATCTCCAGGTACAGATGCATCCCATCCTCCTTTGCTCTTGGCCACCCAGTGACTTTGTATCAGGATCTGGCAACACTTAAGAGATAAATGCTCACTCAGGTGCCTCTCCACCTGCACTGTTTGAGGTGGGCAAAGCACAGGACAGGGGCAGATTATCCTGATCTACATACAAGCAGCTGCAAAGTCTGAACTGGGGGGGGGGTCCAGTCCCCTTTCTCCCACTCCCCATCTCCTGCAACACACACTTGAAAAGAAAAAGTAGTAGATTCATGTTTTCCCAGGATCACTTCCTGCAGCACCAGTAACCCCTCTCGGCATTTGTGGGGGCCTGTACTGATTGCTAGCTCAGGAGATCACAGAACTAACAGGGAAAGCAGAGAAATCTGGTCCTCCTCAGAGCTGGCTCAGAAGCAGCTGGGTTACATTTTGTCCAAATCCCCTTCACAGTTCTGTATGGTGGCCAAAGTCTTAACAATGCGAGAAAATAAATGGGAGGTGAGTAGGAGAGGTGATGCAATTACTATTTAATTGCAACTTTTAAAAAGTGTTTCCACATCACCACCAGAAAGTATCTGCAGCCTGTTCTTTTTCACAGAATGTTGCTATTAACAGTTTTGGTGAGTTTTAACAGGAGACTGATCAAAGTATTGCAATGCAATTTGGAACAAACAGCAAAACAGTATTTTGTGCACATGAATACACTTTTCCCCATGCTTTTCAGTGTGTTCATTAGCAAAAGACACGTTTTACATGCATCTTTTATGTAAAATACATATTTTTCTATGTCCATTTTGATGGAAGTTTGGGTGCAATTCAGCTTGCTGAGTGGGGTTGCATGGGTTAAGACAGATGGAGTGGGGGGTTCTTCAGCTTCTCTGACTGTCCCTATAAATTTATCTTTGTGCTGACTACCTCTTCAATGTTTAGAGTAATAAATCCTAGGATGCATGCTGTTTACCACTTCCTACTCCTCAGACACTTTCTCTGGACCCCGAGGTGAGAGGACATGTTAAGTCTATCTTCTGAAAGCAAAGGAACAAGTATGGCCTCTTTGTTCCTCCAACTAGATAGTTAGCTAGGACTATGAAACTTTCATATCAGGTATGTACTTCATTTATTATTTATTATTTATTATTTATTATTTATTATTTTTACACCAAGTGTCAAACTGAATACTTTTCAACTAAAGGTGTGCTCCAAGCAAGGATTTAGTTCACTAAAGTTAACTTCTGCTGCAGCACGGAAACTCTCTATACTAATACTTTTTGTGGACCAAAAATGCATTTGAAAATCTGGAAAAGTGCACAATCGAACTGAATGGCTTCGATTCAATGTGCACACAAGTCTGGGGTGTGTTGAATTGGGTTGGTCCCCAGTGAACCACCAAGGTAAACCACAAAATCTGGAACACAGGCTTCCATAAGGATTAAGTAATTCACTTATTGCTCCATCTGCACAAGCCTCCATGAAAAAAGAAAGAAAGAAAGAAAGAAAGAAAGAAAGAAAGAAAGAAAGAAAGAAAGAAAGAAAAGCTTTAAATTTCATTTTTCTAACAACTGAATCCTCCTTGAAAGGGCTAGCTTAGCATTTGCAATGTGCAGAAATCAGTTCACTGTTTACTGTATTTTGGGACACTCCTGCTGATCTGGTACAGGAGCTTTTCTGAATTAGTGGAATCATTGAAAAAGTTGCAGGAAAGGCACTTCCAGGAAAGTTAATGGAGTTTTGAATCAAAATGGCTTAAATTTGATTAAAAGCAGCATTAAAATAATTTTCTTCTTAGGATTTCACAAAAGAATTGTAAGGGGGAGGTCATGGAAAAACAGTTACAAAGCTTCAGCTTTCATTGTTATTATTTGTAAATATGGGATAAAAAAGTTCAGGTGATATTAACAAAAATATGTCTTCCACCCTGACTTGAACATATATAGGCAGTCCCTATATCCAAACAGGTATCTAAACAAGACTGATGATTGTCACTGTGTTTAAAGGGCTTAAAGTGCTTAAATGGTGCACTTTTGTTGTCCATCTGCCCCATAATGCACACAAATATGAGCTGCTGTGGTTCATTTCTGAGCCGAGGAACAAATAACAAGCGGCTTCTTGAAATCCCCTTTCCGATGTCATTAATAAAAATGGAAGCTCTGGCAGATGTCTCCTCCGAGGCCCTTCAGCTGACAGAGCACAGGGGAGAGACCAGCTGGAGTGAATGAGGGGAGAACTCTAGGTATGCCTCAGTTCACAGGGAGAAGGACAAGCTGAAAAGCCTCTCTCGAAAATGAGAATAAGCCACTGAGCAAAGCCAGCCTTGGTGGACTGCCAGTGCTTGCTCAGTTCTAAGCACAGCAAAAACCGGTTGCCGGCCAAGCTGCAAAGCACTGATAGCCGTGTTATCAAGCCTGCTTGCACCCTGATCCAATTGTCAACTTGCAAAATAATTTGTTTTGCTTGGATTACAAACATTATTATTTTTTGCCTTTTCTTAGCCAAGCAGCTTGTAACATAGTAGCTATTGTGGGTAATTAGAAACTTCCTTCTCCTTTGGCTCAGGGCTTTCTTTGCTTCCTGCTGGGCTGGAAATGAAAGCCTTCTGACGGCAGGGCTAAACAAGGAGGGGGAGCTGGGATGGATGCCCTCCCACCCCCACCCACAGAAACACTTTGTCCTGAAAGGGACAGCTCTTCAGCGAAAGCGCCAGACTCGCTCAGCAGGGGCCTTGTCAAAACACCACTGATGTCATTTCCGTGGAGTCATAGCTGTTGAGGACCCAACCTTCTCCCTTGAGCCCCGCCTCCCTTTCCCCAGCCACCTTCCTCTCTTGACCATTTTTATGGACTGTAACCTCCTTCAGGCAGGGACCCATTCTCTCAATTCTTATAAAGTGCCATGGATATGGATGACACAATCTAAACAAAAAATAAAAACAAACAACAGATAAAAGGATAAAACATATTTCTTTATTTTTAATTAAATTTGTATACCACCATCCGTTGATCTCAGTGCAGTTTACAATAAAAATATGAGATAAAAACAAATAAAATATAACAAGAACAAGAACAAAAAACCCCACAAACCAATATTCCCTCCACCCCCTCACACAAAAACATTTCAAAGGGTACAGGATAATAATAATAATAATAATAATAATAATAATAATAATAATAATAATTTATACCCCGCCCTCCCCAGCCAAGGCCGGGCTCTGAGCGGCTTACAAGCAATAATAAAAACAAGTTGAATGATTACAACTTAAAAACAAGCACCTTAAATCTTACCCTGTACTTTACTGGGAGCCAGTGCAGTTTGAAAAGCACTGGGTGAATATGCTCCCATGGCAGAGACCCATGTTGGATGTTAATCAACCAAAGGCCTGGGAGAAGAGGAACGTTTTTGCCTGGCACCTAAAAACATAAAATGAAGGTGCCAGGTGAGCCTCCCTGGGGAGAGCATTCCACAAGCAGGGAGCCACTGCAGAAAAGGCCTGCTCTCATGTTGCCACCCTCCAGACAAT